ACATCAGTGTTGTCTCTTGTAAAATGTATTTGTAGGACTTCAACTTAGAAACTGGCTTTTCTAATAATTTACTACAGAGATGTCCTAGGGCAAGGAGCCAAACACTGATACGCAGTGTTCACTTCAAGCATATAAGGTCAGATCCTGTCTGTCAGGAAGCTTTTCACCTCTTAAGGCATTTTAATCATTTTCCTTTTCAGGATGTTTTAAAAATCCTTCCTGATTGAGTTGTATTGTACTTCCGGATGTAATGAGTGTAGTAATGTGTAACGTGTGAATTTACACAGTGCAGTTTTGTAAGTCAAAGCAACAGATCACTCGCCAAATTTGTCCTCTGCTCTGTAGTGTCGTTTATCCTCGTTGATTATTTTGCTGTAAATTGCCCAGTTCCAGAGATGACGCCTGCCCTCTTTTGATGATCATGGAGCTTGATGACATTCACCAATCTGGTGCAACAATTGTATTTAACGAGGAAAAAAAACAAACAAACCCTCAACAGCTGTGTCTCTTTCCAAGAAATAGTGACCTGATTATTCAAATAAGCTGTTCTGTGTAAGAACTATTGTTTTTCTACAAGCTAGCTATGTGCATGCTGCTTTGATTAGCAGATGTCGACAGTAGAAAAATGGTTTCCTCCAGCGTGTGGCGGGTTTCAAGTTTCACCAATAGTTAAAATTTAGGAAGAAATATTTCCCACCTGTAATAATCATTAACAATGAAAATATGAAAGAAATAATGAGAGAATCTGAAAATCCCGCCCACTGTGCAGGTTTTCTCTTCTCTCTCTGTCTCAGGCACCGCTCACCTGAAGCACAGGTTTGCATCTGTGCATGTAACGCAATGATTGATTGTTAATTTTGACCCGAACTAAAAGTGAGGCAGCCCGGGAGTTTTGTTTTGTTTTTGTTTTTTTCCATAATCCTGTTTTTTGATATAGCAAAATATTAAGTAAGTTCATATTAATGGCAGATTTTATAAATAAATCTTCACAGATTCTGACAGATTTGTCTACATTTGAAAGACATCTAATAAAGGCCCGTGATTGGCCGGTGCCTCGTGTCATAGGGTAGATTTCTGTTGCTTTGTTGCAAATCAGAAAATTGCAATAAATACCTTTAATTAATATGTATTTCCTGGAATCGTTAGTTAAACCGCTGAGTAGTAGCAGCAAAGAACTTTCTTGGCTTGTTAAAAATGTCTGTCAGTTGTGCTTGCAGACTCAGACTAGCAGCATTGCTTCCACAGCTATAGATGGTATATTGGTGTTATCATTACACCTGGTCGATAACAACCCTCACACTGACGGTTACCTGCTGCTGTACTGCCACAAATAAACCAACTCGTCACACCGAGCGGGACGTTGCTGATATTTCTTCACTGTTGTTGTTTCTCCTTCCCGTTCCTCCCTGTGTGCCACAGTTGCGTTGTGACAGGTTGCTTAGCTCCAGGCGTGACAGCTGTGTTCTGACAATGCGGCTAATCAGGAAACTGAGCATTGGTGTCAGTTAGTATCAACCACCAGCCACCTCTTTGTTTTGGTTTATTCTGGTGTGTCTCGTGCCTTTGATTTCATCAGGGGCAAGTTTGAGGCTTCGTGTCGGTTTAAATGTTTGTATTCATCGCACGACGCTGCACAGGGCAGGGTTTGTGCATTAGTCGGTGCACCACTTTTATCCAGCGTTGTATTATCAGGTCAATATATATACATAATAGAAACATCCAAAACATCATCAATGTTCAGATAATAAAGCAGACTTTATTAGTATTGTCACAGATTTAGCATCTGACATTGTGAGCAGGTTAACTGCAGTTGTATAAAGTAATTGTTTTATAACAGAAAACATATTTTAATATAACTTGATTGAAATTGGCTTCCAAGGGAAGGTTATTAACAGAATTGATCAGTTTTCTTTGTATAATTTTTTCTTCTTCTATTGCAATGAAACATAAATATAAAACTTCCAGGAACTGCTCGCCAGCTTAAAAGTGCAGCAGACATTTCAGTAACTGTAACAACGAATACAGTAACTGTAACATATCATTTAGCATGCACTTCATAGTAGCTACAGCAACATTACTGAATGCCTAAACCCAACCAAACGACAAAGAAAGTGTAGAGAAGTTGTAAACTTTAAAATGTAAAAATGTACTATTGTGGGATATTATATGGACGTCGGTCAGCATCGGTAAATCAAGCCAAAAAAGGTCATCCGTCACATGTGAATATGGTGAGAACAGGAGTGGGAGTGCGTTTGACGGCTACAGTTATATTTAAGTGATGTTTTTGCCTGAGCCACATGCTGTCCAAAGTGACATCAGACCTGTCCAGCGTAACTCTAAGGCTGGTTTTACATGTTTTACACATGTAGATCGCTCAAACCATCCAAACAGGTCCTCGAGTGACGCAGCGCTTTGACACAGCAGTTTTAAATAACAGCCACTCTGACTTTGGCTGTCCTGACATAACAGGACAAAAGATTGTGGTGGTTTCGGTGAAGTCATAAATCATGATACCCGGCAGTATTTCTATTTATCTGCTATGAACGGTTTGCTTCTACAGCAGCCAGCAGACGTTTTTACTTTGAATGAATCAGATTTACAGTACTGGGCTCTGTTGAGCACAAGGATAAATCACTGATGTGTTTCTCTGCTAAGAGAATGTAAATGTGCTATAAAGTGTGGGTAGTGGGCGACGTTTAAAAATTCATCAATGGTCCAATAACCGAGGATAGGCGGTATTTTAGCGCAGGCACAGACTTTTTGATGGGCGGAGCAATGCAATCATGCACGGACGGACTTGCATGTTTAGAATTTAAACATTTTGTTTGAAGGGAATATTTTACC